TAAATTTCCACTCTGGAGCTGTCACTGATGCATCCCRGGATAAACCTCTTGCATGGAAAGAGCTTTTGCTTTGTGATGTGTTTTGTATTTGTTTGCGTGTGTTTTTATGGGACATAACGTGACTATCAGAAGCCAGGAGACTTCAGGTAATGGAAGAGAAATGATGCATAGCAGGAATTTGTTGGCACATGGTGAGAAGCAAGTCAGCTTTGTTCAGAGAAGAGTGTTGGTGGAACTGTCCTGTCACTGATTCTAAGGMAAATGGATCCAATCTCCACCTCAAGAAGAAATCTGTCCTTTCTCTTACTTTGCCCTTCCATCACCTCCATCTCCCATTTTTGTATTCTTTATGAGTAGAGTCTTACTCTGCTTCCCAAGTAGCCAATTAATAAAAATCCCCACGACAGAAGCAGAACTGGCTGACATGAGAGAGATGCACGAGAGACAGCTGATGTATCTGCACGAGTACCGGCCTTGATCCCGCAGAGATGCCTGCATTAAAGTCAGGGAAAGATTCCAGAGCAGAAAGTTAAGTGTGTGTGTGTGTTTGGCAGGCTGAGACCTTGAAACCTGCTCAGGCATCGCGACTGGGTACAGACATAAACTTGACACTTGCSATGTTTCACTTAGCTTTGACAACATGTGATACTCAGGGGGTTGTTTTAAAAATAAATACAAACCATTTCCCCTATTAGTTCCGTTACCCTTTCAAATAGGCTTGGAATATGGATTTCTCGGGTTTGATATTTTCCTAGGAAAAAAAAATGGCTTAAATTAAAGGGGAAATTTTGATAGAAACTTGGTCTGTTTTCAGTGTCATATTGAGCCTTTTGGACCAACAGATGGAATCATATGGATAGATRCAGAATGAAAGAAAGAATGAAGTAAGAAAAAAAAAATGTTCCAAGAGCAGTTCTTAAAAATTTTCAAGGGCATTTGAGTAGCACTTTCCTCGCTTAAAAATGCATCAAAAAGGAAAAGTGGATCTTTACAACAGTGGCACATCCTCACATTTCCTGGGACAAGATTACTTTTGGCTGGCTTGGGGAGAAAAAGCTTCACCAAAGCAGAAATCACTTTTTTAACTAAGTCATTATCAAAACCCTTTGGAGCCAGGGCACTGGCTACATCAGGCATGGTCAGGTGTGATCTTTCTTCATATATTCTCCGTTATCTTACATCCAAACAGACAGAACATTTTTTTCCTAGATCCATGCAAGTTGTGTTACTTGGAAAGARCAAACACAGGGTCTAAATCTAGTACTTCAATTTATATATTTTTGGGATGCTCTGCTCCAAATTTATTTGGTAGCAATGATACCATATCAAATCTATTCAAAATTTAGCAGCAATTTCCAGATCCTGAGTGCTAACAAGAGCTGAGCAGAYATAGCCTAACACTTTCCATGAGAGCATTCCCATTCCTTTTTTATTTGCTTTCTACATCTACTGTGTTGAACATTGTTAACAGTGGGACACTTCAAAAAACAGCTCTACAAAATTSTGAGCAAATGCAGGAGTAAATTAATGGTAAACCAGTTATTGTCTCTGCATCTCAAAAAATTGTGTCGCACTGTCCACCTAATCATGAAATATTCCATGAAAGATTATATACTGGGACAAGTGGTGAATAACTCTGGAAAACATGCCAGTCTTCATGTACTTCATGTCGAGAAGGTGCTGGTCATGCACACAGATGTATACACATACATGTAAACACGCTTAAATTTTAGTCCAAGATGTAAACTTACTATTGTAAATACTATTGTACTTGAACCATGTATCCATGTTTGGTTTTCTTTGCAACTCTTCAAGGTTATTGCTGGCRGGACCAATCTTAATATAAAACCTTTAAGAACAGCACAGACTAATGTAATTTCTGGCAGATAATGTCATCATGTCAGACTAGTGTGAGAGAGGGAAGCACCTTGCAACAGAGACAAAAACCTTTTGCAGCCTGTGATCAGTGGATCTAACCAGAATGAAAACCAAAACAACCCACTTGGATTCCTGCCCATCGCATCCTTCCCCGAACAGTTTTGCTGTGAACATTTGTGACCGTGAAAATGTTCCAGTGATTCATAGTGAAGAGCAAATGAATCTCAGAATGCTGCAATCTATTCAGAGGCAGTTAAATCCCGTCTAGAGGATTCAGAGGCTCAGTGATTCTGCCAATCCAGAGCTGTGCTGAGAGGGTTTTCGTGACTTCGCTGCAGCACGGTGCACTCTGCTTAAACAGCACTTGCTCCACCTTGGCTGTGTTCAGCTTTTTCCACAGCTTTTGTGTTTCTTCACTTTGTTGTTRCTATGGTGAATGTCACAGGGGTGCACAGAGAGGGTGTTTGGGACAGCAGTAAAGGCAGCAGGCAAAGATGGGAACAGGATAGTTGCGTTACAGCAGGTTCTGCTGCTTTTCTGCGTGTGTGGGAAGGGGAAGGGAGAGCTGGCAGCYGCTCAGTCACTGTGTTCATGAGGGACAATTGTGCATCTCTTGTCCCAGCACTTCAGCTCAGTCATGGCTCTTGTTTTATGGCTCAGGAAGGAGACACCAGCTCCCACAGCACAGGCAGCCTTGGATGCTGCTGCTGGAACCTGTGCCTGTGGCACAAGGAAGTCTTGGTACCACATCTACACCCAATGGCGAAGGATTCAGAGGAGTGGATGGATTCGTGGATCATCATTCTTTGTGATCCAGGATATATCCAGACAGCAGAACTGAGCCCTGCATCTGTGCTGGCTACRTGGAGTTAATAAAGTTGTGACCTATCCTTGTCCATCTTCATTCACCTGCACATTCTGATCAATAATGCATATTGCTTTTTGCCTTCTCCTCCCCTGTGAGAGGCAAAGCCAATGGAGCAGCATTCCTACAGGCACATCTATGTTTGCTGATGACGCCCAAGTCAGGAGGTTCGTCTGCCCTTGTGCAACCTTACCCTTGGATAAGGCCCCCCTGTTCCTGCTGCTGAGTTCCATTCCCAGATGAAGATTGGTTAAGTCTTAAAGCAGTGAGTGTCTTCAAGATGGGAGCAAATTAGGAGACATGTCAAAAGAACAACTACAACAGGAACTCTTAAATGCCAGGTCTTAAATCATTCTGGCAAATTGTCAGTGTGCTTATATTTCTGCCTCACTCCCCCAAGTTTGGTGATGGATGACCACTGATAGGAATAAGTTGGAACTCATGATTTGGCACCCGAGCCCAGCATTAACTAAATCACCCCCCTGCTGCCACAAGAACAAAGCATTGGTTCCGATCCAGTTTAGGAATTTAAAGCAACCACAACAGCAAAATGAATACAGCACTGACTTCTAGCTCAAAGGAAGATGTTAGTTTGTAGCACAGAATGTCAAGAGAGTACTTTCCAACTGCAGACAGCCAAGTACTGCTTTCTGCCCTGCTAAGGTGCATTAAAAATCCTCCTGGGGTTTTATTTCTGCCAAGTTGTGTGCATTAAGCTATCCAAAACATTTGAACACACCGGCTTCTCCATGAGATATTTCACAGGTTGAGGATGTGTATTATTCTCCTGTTAGGCTGCGTTTGCCCCGTGTTTTACAGACCAGCAGACCAGCAGAGATGAGGTGAGTTGCTAAAGAGCACATGGCAGGCAGGTGGCAGAACAGGAACTATCGCTTGGAAATGCCTCTTGCTCTTCTGTCTGCTGAGGAGTCAGACTACGCTGACCCGTGYGAATGTAATGAGGGAGGGAGCGAGGGAGAGAGAGAGCACAAGAACTTCTCTCCTTTTATCACACCTTTGCATGCCCACGAGGGCCCTGACCTCTCCTACGCCGAGCCCTCTGCAAGGGGGCAGGTTCAGGAAGGATCAGGGTGAAATGTGAACTCACTATTTATCGCTCGGAGAGGTCAGACTGAGAGTCTGGACGTGAGGCAGAGGCAGCTTGGATTTCTTCCAAGGCTGGAGTAGCTGCTTTGGTATGTGCTGCCCAGGATTTTGCAGGGCAAATTCTGATTCAGCTCTAAGTCTTATTAGAGGCTCTGCCTGAAATTTCTTTCATTCTCATSCGTTCAGCTGAGGGCACTGAGGGCATCCTGACCGCTGGGCAAGATTCCTTTGGATGCTGCAATCCTCACACTCAGAGTGAGGCAGCCAAAGGAAGCTCTGCTGGCTCAGGTTCACAGCTCCCAAGGATCTGCCCTCGTATTTTGACTGTCACACACACTGCTCTTCCCTATTTTCATCATCACCACCAAGATTTTGTTTAGGACTGTGGTTTACAAAGATCTTATTATAGAGAAATGAAAAGAAAACTCATCTAAAATCTGGTTACATTGAAAAATTCCAGCTGTCTTGCAATTCAATGCAGCTGTGCTATCTAGTATCTTTTTCTCTTCCTTTTGCATCTCTTTATGGAACATTAGCTTCTATAGAAAAATGCTTTTTTTTTTT